TTGTTTGTTTGTTTGTTTGTTTGTTTGTTTGTTTGTTTGTTTGTTTGTTTGTTTGTTTGTAAGTAATATTGTGGTAATTTCACAATTTTGAAGAAAATGTTTAAGAAACGGAACCAGGAAGGGTGGGGGCTAGTTGAAAAGCCCACCCTCCTTGCTAAATTGGTAGTGGAACAAGGCTTGTGCCCATGGAAAGAAACTGTCCATTGAATAGCTAGGCAGCAGTTCTGCAGAAAAGGACCTAGGGGTTACAGTGGATGAGAAGCTGGATATGAGTCAATGGTGTGCCCTTGTCGCCAAGAAAGCTAATGGCATTTTGGGCTATATAAGTAGGGGCATTGCCAGCAGATCGAGGGACGTGATCATTCCCCTCTATTCGACATTGGTGAGGCCTCATCTGGAGTACTGCGTCCAGTTTTGGGCCCCACACTACAAGAAGGATGTGGAAAAATTGGAAAGAGTCCAGTAGAGGGCAACAAAAATGATTAGGGGGCTGGAGCACATGACTTATGAGGAGCGGCTGAGGGAACTGGGATTGTTTAGTCTGCAGAAGAGAAGAATGAGGGGGGATTTGATAGCTGCTTTCAACTACCTGAAAGGGGGTTCCAAAGAGGATGGAGCTTGGCTGTTCTCAGTGGTACCAGATGACAGAACAAGGAGCAGTGGTCTCAAGTTGCAGTGGGGGAGGTCTAGGTTGGATATTAGGAAGCACTATGTCACTAGGAGGGTGGTGAAGCACTGGAATGGGTTCCCTAGGGAGGTGGTGGAATTTCCTTCCTTAGAGGTTTTTAAGGCCTGGCTTGGCAAAGCCCTGGCTGGGATGATTTAGGAGGGGTTGGTCCTGCTTTGAGAAGGAGGTTGGACTAGATACCTCCTGAGGTCCCTTCCAATCCTGATATTCTATGATTCTATAACTGTATAAGTTAGCAACTTCTACATTAGCTAAAAAATAAAAAGCAATAACAAAAATATCTAAACAAGTGCCAACACCACCACAAGTGCGAAATGTTGGACTTGAAAAATACAGTTAAATAGCAGACAGTGTCCTTGCAAAAATAATAATTTGATTAGGCTAATCAATATTGCAAAAGTTGATCCCAGTGCTTATTCTGAAAAAAATTACCTTTTATTAGGAATTAATTTGTTGAGAACCCAGACATTCTAGCTTTAACACACACAGAATCATAGAAGATCAGGGTTGGAAGGGACCTCAGGAGGTCATCTGGTCCTGCCCCCTGCTCAAAGCAGGACCAACACCAACTAAATCATCCCATCTCGATGTCTGTCTCAGAATTGTCAAGAAAACATACTTTCTCTCTCACAACTTGTGCGATATATAGACAACAGGAGCCTGGCCTGGTGATTGTACTTCAGGATACAAAGACTGAAGTATGGGAGAACATAGACGTGTTCTTTATTCCTCACACCAACAGCAGAACATAAAAATGTTGGCAGACAAATCTACACCGATATAGAGCGGCTCCAAAACTCTGGACCGCCGAGCTGGGGACAGATCCTGCAACCTTCATGCGTTCAAAGCGTCTGCGTCGGGACTCCTTACAAGGATCAAATCTTTGGCTCCTGAGGACAGGTTTCCCAAGAATAAAGCAAGGGAAGGCGTGAATCCAGGCAGATGGAAGGGGAGATGGACCCATCTTGGGCTAGTGCAGAGAAGCGGAGCGTGTAGCCACTGATAAAATTTGAGTGTGATTTCCAGGCATTTAAGCTGAGACGTAGGTCTGAAATTATTTGCAAAATACAAAATCGGAATAATGAATAATGCCTCCTGCACCCCTTATCCCTCCTGAGTCTGCTAACCCCTTCTGCACCCCTTCTCCCCTAAACCCCTCTGCACCCACATGGGGAAACTGCCCTCGATGCATGAAGCACCTGTCCTTGCTGCTGCGCCCCCCAGCGCCCCCTAGGAGGGCACAGAGGAATATTCGGAGGGGTGGGGGAAGAAACACCGCCACCCACTCTGTGCATTCGCCCCTCTGAACGTTCCTCCGTGCGGACAAAGCCGGGAGAAACCTGGGCGCCTCCCCATGCATCACCTCTGTCGCCAACACCTAAAGCCGGCCTTGCCTGGGTGATAGCTAACTGGAAGCCCTGTCTGTTTATAACCCGGTCCCTCTGTCCCAAGATGTCCCCGTGCTCTGCATCTCTTGGCTCACAGTCATCACAAATGGATGCCCGGTCGTTGGGTAGTCCATTGTCTCTCCGGGGCGCTCCATTCATATATGGACAGTTCTCTATAGTGTATCCACGTCAATCTGGAAAGGCCTACCTTACGCCAACAGGTTTCAGAGTGGTCGCCGTGTTAGTCTGTATCAGCAAAAACAACGAGGCGTCCTTGTGGCACCTTAGAGACTAACCAATTTATTGGGGCATAAGCTTTCATGGGCTAAAACGCACTTCATCGGATGCATGCAGTGGAAAAGACAGTAGGAAGATACAGTGGCTGGGTCGTTACACAAACTAAAAACTATTTCCCCAGGCTAATTTTTCCCCTACTGTTACTCACACCTTCTTGTCAACAGTTGGGAATGGGCCACCCTGATTATCACTACAAACGTGTTTTTTTTTCTCCTGCTGATAATAACCCACCTTAATTGATTAGTCTCGTTAGAGTTGGTATGGCAACCTCCATTTTTTCATGTTCTCTGTGTATCATAGAATCATAGACTTTAAGGTCAGAAGGAATCATTATGATCATCTAGTCTGACCTCCTGCACAACGCAGGCCACAGAATCTCACCCACCCACTCCTGTATCAAACCTGTGTCTGAGGCCATTGAAGTCCTCAACTTGTGGTTTAAAGACTTCAAGGTGCAGAGAATCCTCCAGCAAGTGACCCCGCCCCACGCTGCAGAGGAAGGCGAAAAACCTCCAGGACCTCTGCCAATCTGCCCTGGAGGAAAATTCCTTCCTGACCCCAAATATGGTGATCAGCTAAACCCTGAGCATGTGGGCAAGACTCACCAGCCAGACACCCAGGAAAGAATTCTCTGTAGTAACTTAGATCCCACCGCATCTAACATCCCATCAAAGACCATTGGGCATATTTACCACTAATAGTCAAAGATCAATTAATTGCCAAAATCAGGCTATCCCATCATACCATCCCCTCCATAAACTTATCAAGTTCAGTCTTGAAGCCGGATGTGTCTTTTGCCCCCACTGCTCCCCTTGGGAGGCTGTTCCAGAACTTCACTCCTCTAATGGTTAGAAACCTTCGTCTAATTTCAAGTCTATGAAGTGGGCTGTAGCCCACGAAAGCTTATACCCAAATACATTTGTTAGTCTCTAAGGTGCCACAAATACTCCTCGTTCTTCTTACTCCAACAGACATTCAATCCCCTGGCCCAGAGGAGGAATTAACGCCTTCACACCCAGTGGGTAACAAAGCAAAATGAGACAGGAAGCTGCGTCATACATATTGTTCATTGAAAAAATAATAGTAATTAAGAATGCCCACGTTCTCCACAGGGAGATACGGTCAAAGTGAAGGGCTAGGATCATAAATCGTAAAATCCAGGTCTGAAAAGGACATCAAGAGGGCATCTTGGCTGACAACCCTGAGGATCGAATATAAGTAGAGTATTATCCCTGACGGGTGTTTGTCTGACCTATTCTTAAAAACCTCCAGTGACAGGAATTCCACAACCTCTCCTGCTAATCTATTCCCATACGCATCTATTCTTGCAGTTGGAAAGATTTTCCTAATATCCAACATAAACCTGTCCCTTGCTGCAGACGAAGCCGAATTCCTTCTTCTCCTACCTTCAGTGGACATGAATCATAGAATATCAGGGTTGGAAGGGACCTCAGGAGGTATCTAGTCCAACCCCCTGCTCAAAGCAGGACCAATCCCCAACTAAATCATCCCAGCCAGGGCTTTGTCAAGCCTGACCTTAAAAACCTCATGGCGAACACTTCATACCCATCCTGTTTATAAACAACCTTTGCATATTTCAAGACAGTTCTCAGGTCTCCCCCTCCAGGGGCAGAGGTTCCCCGGATTCTCCTTCTTCCCCTTTTTTCCTAAAATACAACCCCCCACCCCTTAAAACACCTGGCTCCTATAACACGTTTTTGCACACAGCTGGGGTTGAAACTATGGTTCTAATTATCCTCTGACTGATCATTTAATTATCCTCTGACTGATCCCAATCACTTGCCATTTCTCTCAGCTAGTCCACGGCACAGACTGCCTCCACGGGGAACAGTATAGCAAAAGTTAATAACTGAGGAGTTTGGCATTTCAGATCGGCATGAGGAAAAGTGAGGAGTCAGAGATCGAAAGCCACATGAAGTGTGCATGAAAAGCCGCAAGACTAAGGCGTTTTCTTAGCAGCCACAATGTTTCCAGTCGTCTACGATCACAATAATTGTTTGGCTCGAGAGAACACGCCGGGGCTGTTGAACCTGGCACCCATGCATTTAAGGATAGATATTTCAGCCCGACCACTGATATCTTTCAGACAATGCATTCGGCATTTTTCTTGCATCCTGCAGGAGTTTCTCTTGGAAGTTTTTGCCCTCAGATACCAACATTTCTGGATTCAGAAAAATATTTGAAAGTCCTCGAAAATATACGCACAGACTCTGACCTAGTCTGCTCTTATACCTCTGTTGATAAGGGCTGTGAAAAATCCCCCTCCCGCCATCCAACATTACTATTCTGGCAAAAGCTCGAGTGTAGACACAGGTAGAGTAGAAAAAGCATCAATTAAAAAACAAAAATCAAGGAAATTAAGTGCCCATAAACTAAGTTAAAGGAAAGTCAAGTTGCTCAGTGCGGTCTCATGCCTTTCACCATAGGGACAAGGCTAAACTTAAACTCCGGGAAACCAGAAAATGAAGCGTTCAAATATATACCACCCTCACAGTGTAACCTTAACTCTGACCCTCCCCCTCTTCCCCCGCCCACGCACACACACACAACTCCTGAGAGTAAGAGCCACTGGGAATGGTTTTGTAAGTGTGGTGCAAAGGTTAACAAACGACCACAGGAATTGGAGACTTCCTTTCTTGAAGTCTTCATGTCAAGACGGGAAGCCCTTCTGGAAGATGATTTAGTCCCACACCAGGTATTCAGCTCAGTACAGCAGTAACTGGATGAAATTCTATGGCCTGTTATATAGGTCAGACTTGACGCCGAATCATCTCTTCCGGCACTAAAATCTATGACTCTATAATAGACATGAGGAAGGACTAAGAGAACGTGCCATTGTCTGCGTTGTGCTCTACAGATGGGAATACCAGCATTTATCCGCATGCCCTGCAGCTGTGTGCCCTGGGTCAGGTGTAGCTGCAACTGGATGGTGGGGGGATTATTTGGAGCAGTTGGCAGAGCTGTGACTATGATATAAAGGGAGGTGCATGTGAACCCCGAGGGACCAAATCTGCCCCATTTCCGTGCTGAGCGTAGTAGGTTGTGTCAGGATAGGTCTGGTAGCACACATCCTAATGCTCTGCAGTGTTTCGTGAGGGGTAAGTGAAGATGACGCTTCAGGAGGATTCCTGCGGGAGAGGGTAAAGGGGTGGTGTCATTCTGCACGTCAGAGCTAGTTCCTGTGGAGCAGAGTCAGGGTTTGAGTGCAGGCCGGGGGCAGGCAGCTTCTGTTTGCTATGCCGGAAAGAAACCCAAATATTATCTGAGCAAAGGGAAGAGGTTCAACGTTGTGCTGTACTGCTCCCAGGCTCTGTTCCCGGAGCATTCTGTAGCAGGGGAGGGGAGAGGGCTAGTATGTGTGTCACTGGCATGTCAGGGTGTTGCTGAAACAGGGCAGAGTAAAGGTTACATTGTGGTTGCATGAACCTTATCTCTTCATTTCCTCTTCCAAGAACCGAGGGGACGGGAATCCTTACCCAGCGAGGTCACCTTCTCATAGTTCTCCTGCATAACGGCTCTGTAGAGGGCTCTCTGAGCGGGGTCCAGCAGAGCCCCCTCTTCCCTGGTGAAATACACAGCCACCTCCTCGAAGCTCACTGGCCCCTGAAAGAGCAAAAGTCCAACTTCAGTACCTGCTGCCCCATTCACAGCCTCACTATTCATGGGGGAGAAGAGCCAATCAAATGGGAAGTCTGGGTGGATCGCAGTCAACAGAGTCCCACCCCCACCCAGCTCAGAGCATCCAGGAAACACCAGGGTGAGGGGATGAAGAGAGAACCCCTCCGCTTTCCCAGCAGATCGATCACACACCTACTAGCCACAGACTGATACAGGAGATGGAGCCCCCAACCCCCAAAGCCCTATGGTAGGAATCCCAACCCCCTCCTCATTGAGAGCAGCTGGATGTGAGGGGCTGGGGCATCTGATTTAGTGGGGATTGGTCCTGCTTTGAGCAGGGAGTGGTACTAGATGACCCCCTGAGGTCCCTTCCAACCCTGATCTTCTATGATCTTCCCGACGCCTCCCTGGTGGGTGCCCTCTTCATATCTCACAGGGGGTTTGTTTCCTGTTTCACAAATTGGGAATTCCCACTAAAACCCCCGGGGTCTGTCCCAGCAGGCTTGTCCCACCCCGTCCCCCTCCCTTTCTCTGCCTTGTAGGTTTCCTCCCCTTCCCGCCTCCAGACACAACTGCCCAAAAGCTCCCACCTCCTGAGTATTTACTGCCCTTCTCCTTCCAGCAGGAACCCATCCGCATTCCCCCCCATTGATCCCTTCCTTCGCTGGCTTCGCTGCCGCCATTTCTCTTCCCTATTTTATGGGCGCATGTAGCGAAACATGAACCGTACTCTGCACCACGGAGACATTTCTAACCCCTCCCAGGGACAGAATCAAATGCTAGAAAAGAGCAGAATCAAAGGAGCCTCTTTGGTGGGATACCCCTGACACTGTCCCCAGGGCAGCACACACCTGCAGCAGGGGGAAACAGAGCGTGTCAGGGGCTGGTTTTTCCTCTCTCTGCTCTGCTCCTCACCTTGTGGACAGGAACATGACTGTGCCCAGGGATGGTGCAGTAGGTGTGTCAGACAATCTGGCAATCTCCCTCACTAATTTCTCCTTCCACATTCCATTCTTGGGGGCTTGCTCTCTCTCGTGGCTGGCCCCACTCCACCTGTGCTGGGAAAGGGGATCCCAGTCAGGAAGACATAGGTTACCAGAAGCAAGTTATTGGATGCCATATGGGAGAAATTGAAGGGCCTGGGTGAAGCAGGTCAGACAAGATGACCTAATAATCCCTTCTGGCCTTAATATGTGGAGATATACCAATCTCATAGAGCTGGAAGAGATCCTGAAAGGTCATTGAGTCCAGCCCCCTGCCTTCTCTAGGCAGGACCAAGTACTGATTTTGATTTTGCCTGAGATCCCT